GGGGTTCTTAAGTTGATTCTGTATGTAAGTCAGAACTGGCGGTCAGTTTCAGCAGCGGCTGAATCTGGACGCCAGTTCCCACTTACATACAGATTCAACTTAAGAACAAACCTACAGTCCCTATCTTGTACGTAACCCGAGGACTGCCTGTATTACAAATAACCACACAGCATATGTTTGTGCATAGCACCTTCTGAAATAACAGCATACACTCAGCTGAAGGAAATATCAGTTCTATTCTTTGCCTTTCTATAAAGCACTTGTTGCCTAAAGGTGAAATGGTTGTTGTTTTTAGCCTAACACCTCTGAATGGTTGGAAAGATTTTGTTTGTTTAATTAAAAAGAACTTGTTTACCCTTTTAAGGTCTAGTGAGGTTAGATCTGTTCTATAAAAAGTGTTCTTCTGAACTGGTGTTTGATTTTAATGTTAGTTCTCAACTAGGGAAGATTCAGGAGAGACAGGATTTTTTTAACCAAACTATCTGTCTAATTTCTCCTGAGAGTTAGGGAAGTTTCTTACTAGAGGAAGAGCCACAGTTTGGCTTTTTCCCTCCATGTTGGTATTTTTCTCTTCTGCCATTGGCCTTTTATTTTGGTAATTGTTGGGATCTTTTCGGGCATATTGTAAATGTCCTTTCTCTAGGAGTGAAATCTCTTTAACAGAGAGTTTCCCACAAGCTAACACATAAAGAACCTTTCACACTAATTAATCCTATTTAGGCCTTTGTAGATATGCACAGATGCAGACTTCAGCTGTGGAAAGAACTGCATAGTGTCCCATGGCCATGGTGCTCCTTTGCCCTCCTATTTTACTTATATTATCAAAGTATAAACATTTTCGAGTCAGCAGGTTTACTTTTTTCCAGAGATAAATTAGGTTCAAATTGTATAACTTTAACAGAGATGTACCCGAGGGGCCAAAGAGAATGATGTGGCCCTATCTCTGCCTTTTCCCTTTCTCTTGAATATCAATGCTGTAAAAGCAGTTTATATTCTTCACTCCCCACAGTGGTGATTTAGAAGGAAGAGCAAGACCTCCAATCATTGTTTGATACGACTATACTCAGTTAAAACTCTTCTAAGTTATAGCAAATATTCTGTTTTGTTCCATTACGTCTGGGTGTTTCCTTATTTCTGAGTTGTAGGATCCATGAGTTCTAACACTGATATAAATTGCAAGCCACTTTAACTACCATAGGTAACACTGAGTAGCAGAATGTGTATGAAAGCAAAAAAGGTAAATGGTAGAAATGTGGAGCCAGGAATGCTAAAGCACTAAACCAGATTTTAGCATGTATTCTTCAGGCAAGGTCCTTTGTGCTAGTTCTTGGTGTTCCTTGTAGACAGAGCTTGCAGGGTCAGCCATTTAACTTCCTTGCTTTCACTTCCTCATGCAAAGTTGACTTAACATGTAGTTAGATATTATGGTGATGTTGCTGTAGGAAACCCTAACACAGAATGATAGCTAATATCTCACACCAGTAGTGTGAGTAGTAATTGAAATGTTTTATAATGTGCTTTGAAAACTAAGTCCAGTAAACCCTTGGTGCAGTATTAGTTAACTTTGCTGTCTTGAGTAGTTTTAAACTCTTTCAAGGTGAGGACTTCCTGTAGTGACTTCACTGAAAAAAGATCAGGCACCAAATGAATGAGTTATTATTGCCAATCCACTGTATTTCAAAGCTGGTTTCAATTTTTGTTAAAAACCCACCAGATGTCAGTATAAGGCTAATAATTCCAAGGAATAGGGAATGGTCCACACTGCCAAATTACTAATGGCTCTTAGGAACATAGGAATGACCATACAGTACTAGACCAGACTCAGGTCGATCTAGTCCAGAATCCTGTCTCTGACAGTGGACAACTCCAAATGCTCCAGAGGGAGATGTACCAACCCAGCAGTAGGCAAATGTGAGATAATCTCTCTCTCCCTACCCCCATTAACTTTCATCCTGGTCTCTAATAGATAGAGGTTGATGTAAACCCTGAAGTATGAGGTTTAATATTCCTTCCAAAATGTACTAGCATCAGCTATAATAAATATGAATATTGTTAATATCCTAATAAATGTTCAACATCTGTGAGCTGGCACTGAAGCGTGTGCGCAGAGCGGCCGGCTGAGAGCAAGCACTGAGGCACTTGCGCAGAGCGGCCAGCAGTGAGTAGGTGCTGGAGTGCATGCACAGAGCAGCAAGGCAGTGAGCAGTCTGGGCCCGCGGCTCTGAACTAGAACAAGAGTCGCATTTCTTTAAGCAAAGAGCCACACGTGGCTTAAGAGCCCTAGGTTGGCTACCCCTGACTTAGATCATTCTCATTATCTGAACCCTTTTAGTTCTGAAATGACTTTTTTGAGATGGCATGTTCAATACCGCACACAATATTCCAGAAGAGGCTGCAACATTGATTGATTAAAACATTCTCTGGATTAGCGACAAGCTTATGCTCCAATACATCTGTTAGTCTACAAGATGCCACAGGACTCCTTGTCGCTTTTGCAGATCCAGACTAACACGGCTACCCTTCTGATACTATTCTCTGGATTATTCATCATCCCATTTACTGTGCATTTGAATACTGTGACCAGAGTTCCAGGGGAGCCAACTGAGGTTATTCAATTAGGGCCAAACTGCAAAGAATGGAGGAGCCATCCCTCAAAGATGGAGTTATTCCAATACTTAGATTTACCAAGCCAGCATAAAATATCATCTGTAACACCTTACTGGTTACCTGGAAACCAACAACTCAGGTCCCTTGATGTAACCCAGCCTTAGACCTCCACCCATACAACCCAAGTCAAATACAAAAGGATCACTAAAGATCTTATTCTTATATAAGAAATTTCTACCAATCCCAAAGGGTCGGACAGATTACCTCCTACCTTAATGAATATTTCAGATCTTATCCAAATACATGCTTACAGACAATTCTTATTCACTAAACTAAACTGTATTAACAAAGAAAAGAGAGTGTATTGGTTAAAAGATCAATATATATACAGACCTGGGTACATTTCTGAGATCAGATCCATAGTAGGGAGTTCATTTACAATTTAGTCCATAAATTATAGTCCAGTGTCCAACATTATAGTCAGGGTGTCCCAGCTTAGGACTCAGCTCTCACTACTTATGGTTTAGGCTTCCCCTGCATGAAACATTAAGCAGATCTGAGATTAAAAGGATTAGGTTCAAAGGGTCTTTTATACAGTCTTCTAGCAGCTTCTTGGTCATTCAGTCCAGCGCAAATCATGGAGACTTCCAAATGGACCTGTCTCCCAAGCTTCACTGGTAATTAGTCATATGGATTAACATAAAACAATTTCCTTCTACTATTCACAAACGATTTGTTATACACTTCAGAGAGAGAAGAGATTAATACAGTTTAGACAGAAACAATCCCCCCTTAATTACATTGTTAACCTATGACAATTTATATGTAAATAAAACAAATACACAAACGTTATGTCCCTAAAGGTTGAATTTAGGTCATTTATCCTGCAGAATGGTTCTCTCTTTCTTGCCATGTGTCAAATACATATTTGCTTTTTTTGACAAAGTGTACATTAATGATTGAGCAGAGCTCTTCACTGAGCTGTCTACAATGATGCCTTAGTCCCTTTTCAGAGGTGATGCATTTAATTAAGAACCCTGTAAGGTATATGAATAATTTAAATGTTTCCCGCTAATGTGTACTACTTTGCAGTGATTGATATTGAATTTCATTACTCATTCAGCTAGCTTATTAGGCCTCTGAGTTCCTCACAATTCTTTCTGTTCTTGACTAACCAAAACATTTTCATACTAAAAAAGCAAATTAGCAGTGGAATTGTACATGGAGAAATATTGTTAAATGTGTCAGTGTTTGATGTCAAGAGCATACCAGCTCTCAGTAAAATATGATTCTCCTTTCAGCCTTTTCCTCAGCTACTTCATAGCTCAAGCCTGCAACTGGTGGACTCTACTTTCAGCCTGCTTGCTCAGGTTTACAATTTTTGTCATTTTATCACTCTTCCACCTTTTCTTTCATTACAGACAAGGCAGTGGACTTGTGCACTGTTTGCACTGACTAGGTCACTGGTTGAGCTTGCAAAGAAAAGAACAGTTCTTTCCCCCCCGCAAATATGAAACCACTAATTTGCTCTTTCATTTGTAGTGTCCCAGGAACTTTGTTGTCTTGTCCATAAAGCCCTTTCGTAATGAGCCTGAAGTTTGGCAACTAAATCTATTGTTAGTAATGCTAATACTCATGGCCAGATTTTGAGAGGATGAGCAACACTCAGGTCACATTTATTTTGGTTTAGGACAATGGATTTCCGTGCCAAACTTTAGGAACCCAAGTTTGAATATTTTGGCCCTAATGCACTTGCATTTATGAATATAAATAAACAACATACTGAGTAATATTCTATAGAATACTGAAAAGAATGACAGTAGAAAAATCAATGTGGGAATTACTCACTGCAACAAATCTCCCCATTAACATGTATCTCCCGCTGTTCTCAAGTAACTAGAAAATTGAACTTGGTGCATATGAACAGCATGTTAGTCATTGGCTTGGAATGTCAGCAATTCTGTTTAAGATTGAATTTCTGACTGTCAACTGCTCTATGGGAGAAACAGCTGAAGTTGCCCTAGCTTTGGTTAACTATAATATGACTTATGCAAGAGCAACACTTTTGTCCCTGGTATGGCTCTTTATTACATATGTATTACTTCTGTCTGGAAAATGTTGCTCTACAACACACACACACACACACACACACACACACACACACACACACACACACACGTTATCATCATAAATTGCTTACTTGTTGCACACAAACTCAGTCAAAGGCTGGCACAGATGAAACAATTTTTTTTTGTATTTTGAAATTGAGTTATGTTTTAATGTTCACAAAAAGATGACTTATACCTGCCTGGTCTAACCAGGTCATAGAGCAGCTTATTCTAGGCCAGCTGTAGGCCCAGCTATGTCATGACAGCACTTTGTCTTGCTCTGCTACTGACTTGCTTTCCCAGTCTTGATCTGCTCTTAGTCAACTTGATCTGCTTTTAGTACAGTATATGTGATCAACATTACTAGTTAATTTTAGCAACTCTTACAAGTCTGACTAGAAACCTGAAGACTGAAATAATATTTTTGCCTGTAAAGTGGGTAACACAAAGAGGGAGAAAGAAAACAAGTTGTACTCTATCAATGTACCCTGCTATCATCGGGTATGTCTACACATCAGTGTTAATTCTAAATAACTGTTATTTCGAATTAATTTTAATAGCGCTACACAGGCAAACCGAAATAGTGGGGCGCTTAATTCAAATTAGCCCTTCCCATTCTGGGCCAAACCAGGAAAACTCCTCTCCTCTCCCTTAGCCCCGGGGCCCTTAAAGGGGTAGACTCTGGCCACACTGCACGTGCCAGCTACAGGCCTGCCCGCACAGAGCCAGCAGTCACTGATCCTGACCCAGTGGCTTCAATATGAGCCAGGCAGCCAGATCCAGACAGTCCTCCAGTGCCAGTCCCCAGGAGCCAGCCAGGGGCTGGAGAAGGCGGGCGCCTTCCTGGACTAGTGCGGAGATCATGGACCTCATTGAGGTTTGGAGCGAAGCCTCCAACGTCCATGAGCTCCACTCTAGATGGAGGAACACGGCTGTCTACAGCCGCATAGCTGCCACCATTGCCACAAAAGGCCACATGCGTACCCAAGAACAGGTGTGCATGAAAATTAAAGAATTGCGGCAGGGATATTCCAGGGCCACATGGGGCAGCTCCCCGACAGGGGCACACATTTGCCCCTATTTTGAGGCCCTGGACTGCATCTTGGGGGTGGGACAGTCCATGCCAGCCCGGGGGCAGCGAGCTGGGAGCAGAGGGTCCTGACCAGGGCATGGAGGAGGAGCCTTCACGGAGCATGCCACGCCGCAAGGACCCCTGAGCCATCCCAGCAGCCAAGTCACCAGGGTCATCCGGGGAGGCCACAACATGTAAATGTCATCACTGTCCCCTTATGGGGGGAAGGGGAGGCATGGCGGGGAGGGAGACCAGGTACCACGCACATGGACCTTGCTTACCACGGATCACACAACAACCTATGCATGTGTGAGCACATGCTATGCCACCTCTGGGCAGGGGCCTTGCCACCCCCGGGGCGGGACACAGCAGGACACCCTCCCTTCACAAGCCCCCTCTACTCAGAGGCATGGGATAGCTCCCCCTCACCTCAGCCGCACTGTACACAGCACAGGGACATGGGTGTGGTCTCGGGGCAGCTCCCACTCTCAGGGATAGCCGGACAATCTGACCATGACCTCTGTGCAAGCACATCAGCTAGGGGGAAGGGGAGGCATGGCGGGGAGGGAGACCAGGTACCACGCACATGGACCTTGCTTACCACGGATCACACAACAACCTATGCATGTGTGAGCACATGCTATGCCACCTCTGGGCAGGGGCCTTGGCGTGTTAGCCACACATGTGGCTAACGGGGTGGGACACAGCAGGACACCCTCCTTTCACAAGCCCCCTCTACACAGAGGCAGGGGACATCTCCCTCCTACCTCAGCCGCACTGTACACAGCACAGGGACATGGGTGTGGTCTCGGGGCAGCTCCCACTCTCAGGGATAGCCGGACAATCTGACCATGACCTCTGTGCAAGCACATCAGCTATGACGGTGCAGGGAATGGTCATCCTCACCTTGCAGAGGGGGGCTGGGCTTCACCCACTGTGTCCCCAGGGAGAACTGACCACTTCTCTTCTTTCTCCACAGCCGCACCAGCTGCACATGCAGGGCGCACCACCCCACCTGGGACATGCTTCCGCACGAGGGCTCTGCAGGAGGACCAGCCGAACAGTGCAGGGGTACCGAGAGCAGCCCCTGGGGGCATTGTGAGCCCTGCACTGCACCCTTGACCGCTGGGTGGAACTAGATTTGGAGCTCCGGCGGGAGCAGCTTGCCCAGGGTCGTGCCATCTGTGCCCATCTGCAGACCCTGGTGCAGAGCGTGCTGCCTCCTGCTGCTCCAGCACCTGCTGCCTCCCCAGCTCCCACTCCTTCTCCCCCTCCCGCTTCTCCCTCCTCAACCTTCACACCCTCCTCCTCAATCTCCTCACCTCCCGCTTCACCCTCCACACCCTCCTCCCCATCCCCCTGTGGATGCAGAGGCCCTCACATCTGCAGTGCTGGGAGAAAGTTGGCCCGGCGAGACCCCCCACCGCTGAGGTGCCCCTACCCCTTCTTCCTCTACAGCACCTGCTGCCTCCCCAGCTCCCACTCCTTCTCCCCCTCCCGCTTCTCCCTCCTCAACCTTCACACCCTCCTCCTCAATCTCCTCACCTCCCGCTTCACCCTCCACACCCTCCTCCCCATCCCCCTGTGGATGCAGAGGCCCTCACATCTGCAGTGCTGGGAGAAAGTTGGCCCGGCGAGACCCCCCACCGCTGAGGTGCCCCTACCCCTTCTTCCTCTAGCTTCCCCCTTCCAACTCCCTTCTCCCAGGTTTACCCCTCCCCTCTCCTGCCTCCTTTCCCCAGTCTCCCCAGAGTTTCATCCCCCCCCCCAGTTTTGTTAAATAAAGACAGTTTAAGAAAAAACATGGTTTTTTATTTTACATTAGAAAGAGGGGTGGAGGGAGGGGGCGTTAGTAGAAGGTCGTGAGGGTGAAGCCTCTAATGGGGAAGACCGGGGAGGTTCTTAGTGCTCCTCAGGGTGGAAGCTCTCCTGCAAGGCCTCCCGTATCCTGATAGTGCCCCGATAGACCTCCCGGCTGGCAGCCGTGCAGGGATGTGAGTACAGGCCAGCTAAGTGGTCGGTCTCTGCCATCCAGGCTGGCAGGAAAGCCTCTTCCTTCCATTCACACAAGTTGTGCAGCACACAGCACATTGCCACCACGTGTGGAATATTCCGCTTGGTGAGGTGGATGACTCTGCAGAGCAGCACTCTATTGATGGCCTTGACCACCTACAGAGGGACACAGAAAACCACCGAAAGTCACTGGGGTTCCAGGGTGGCTGTGAGAGTGCTCCTTCTGCACCACTGCCCCGTGCCCCCACTCCCTAGGAGCAAACCTCTCTTCCCCCGCAATCCTGGCCACTGCGGGCAGTCCGAAGTGCGGCTGGGACAGAACAAACCCTCCCATGGAGGGG